CAGAATATATGATATAGGGTAAATTGCACTTAACCCCCTTGTGGTTTGAACATTTTGCACATGACCCCCTTGTGGTATGAAATTAGGCACATAACCCCCTTGTTGTTTTGACATTTTGCACATGACCCCCTTATGGTATGAAATTAAGCACATAACCCCCTTGTGGTTTTAACATTTTGCACATGACCCCCTTATGGTATGAAATTAGCACATAATCCCCTTGAATAGAAAACTGAAAAAGACTAAATTACCCCTATCAATTGTTTTAATTTAAAAACAATTATTCTATAAAATGAAAAAGCTTAATGTATTTTTTTGTAAAATGAGAAATATAATATATTATTGTGTTTTTTTTATTTTACACCACATATTTTTTTAATTTAATTTTCATTTCAACTTTGAAGAAATATTTTTTTTAGATTTTTCCAAAAGAATTAAAAAAAAATAAAGACTTTGTTTCTTAAAAAAATTAAAGTTCGATAAAATCTATAATATAATATAATATATTATATAGAAAATAGTAATATAATAATCATAATTAATGATAATATTAAAGATTTTTAAATTGATTTCTAAAATTGAATAACCTTTAGGGGTAATTTAGTCTTTTCCAATTTTCTATTAAGGGGGTTATGTGCTAATTTCATACCTTAAGGGGGTCATGTGCAAAATGTCAAAACCACAAGGGGGTTATGTGCCTAATTTCATAGCATAAGGGGGTTATGTGCAAAATATCAAAACCACAAGGGGGTTAGGTGCCTAATTTCATACCACAAGGGGGTCATGTGCAAAATGTTCAAACCACAAGGGGGTTAAGTGCTATTTACCCTATGATATATTATCAGAATATATTTCTTGTTTAAAAAAACTAAAATAATAATAATTACTACCGCCAGTCCAACAGATCCAAGCCCAAAAATTGCTACGGTGGAACCTTGTTCTACCTCAGCAACCTTGCACGCTGCACCGATACCTACAGTTTGCCATGTGTAACAAATAAATAAATAAATACATACTCATCCTAAAATATTTTTCTTAAGCCTAATTTGTTCCTCATAATAAAATTAGAGTAATTAGATTATAATTTTAATATGTCATAAAAAATAGTTCAATTTTTAAATGAATAATCTTCAGTGGCACCAACTATTCAGATAAGTCATTTGAGCAAATACAAAAGTTAATAACTTTCTGTCACAATTGAAAAAGATTAACAACTCTCCACACCCCACCTACAAATAATATTAATTTCATATAAAATGCACACCTCAAAATTCAACTTTTCTTTTTGCTACCAAATAGATAAATTCATAGAGACCATATCCTTTTTTAAATAAATTATTAAAATCCAGAATTTTAATTGTAAATAGTTCATCAAATATATTATTATGGGTAAATTACAAAAACATCCTTAACTTAGGCTAAATTACAAAAATATCACTACATATCCATAATTACCAAAATCCTTCTGATCTTTGTTTTTGGCTTACACCGACACCATTAAAGTGTGATTGTTTACGTAATCTTTTTTTATTCTAGAAAATATTCCCTGAAATATGCTGATATAACCTTGCAAATGTAGACATATTGAAGGTAGTCATACACATTGTTTCAAAAATTGCGTGTAAAATTGAGGAAGTCTACTGACACTGCAACGTGATGTTGAAGAAAAAAATATTCTTAGTTTGAATTAAATTTCTCGCACTGTATTTTGACAAAAATATCCTCACAATTTTAATCATTTAAATATTAAATACTCATTTTGTTCCACAATAACTGTATCTTTTAAAAAATATTTTTATTCTATATTATCTGTCACTTTAGATTTCCAATATTGCATTAAATGCATTTGTTCTGTTTTAATCTTATTAATAAAACTCTAATTATTATTTTTCTCAAACAAATTATTAAATAATAAAGATTATTTTAGTCATTTCTATATAATTTTTCTAAAATTAAGATATATTTATTGAGTTTCTTAATTTTTGTGAAAAGTGAAAAAGAGACACTTATTTAGTAACGGAGGGATTAATAATTAATTATTTACCGGTGGTTACTCCACAGCTGAGCAAGCAAGCTTTGTCGATGGGAATATCAGGGCCGATCTTGACGACGTGGGTGACGTCAACCACCGTGTACTGAGAGAAGCTCGAAACGGAGAGGAAGTGGTGTATCGGAGATCCATCGCCGTCGAGAAATCTGGTGGCGCCGCCGTACCTAGGCATTCCCCCGAAATACTCGACGGCGAATTTCGAGCAAACATTCCCCCTCTTCGAATTACAGTCCTTGCATTCCCCACAGTTCCTCTGGAACACCGGCAGAACCAGATCCCCTGCTTTCACTTCCTCCACGTTTTCCCCCACACTCTCCACAATACTATATATTAATTCGATATATATGTTTTTATTTTTGTTAAATTAAATATTTTTTTTATATACACAGATATTCGATCGGAGAAGAATGTATAAATATGTAATTTACCCGGCTGCTTCGTGGCCGAAAATTCTAGGTAAGAAATCAATAGGCCCCTGGAGAAAACAAAAAGGAATGTCAGATTGTTATGGAATACGACGTCGTGTTGTTCAACTTTTATTAATAAACGTACGGCTTTTAATTTCCACCAGGTGACGTCAGTATGACAGAGGGATGTGCAAAGAATCTTTATCCGAACCTCTCCAGGCTCGGGTGGCAGAACCTGAATTTCTTCCAGGATCAACGGCTCCCCTGCTTCCCTGGCTACTGCTGCTGCAGCAGACAATCAAATCCCAACCACAGCGAGAGGGAAAAAAAATTATAATTATTTGGACGGTAGTGAAGAATAATATTCATGAATAAATAAATAAATAAAAATATTTAACCTTTGCATCGTATGGGTTTTCCTGCCATATCTGATGCCAAATTGTGCTCCATTTTTATGTGTTAGTTTCTTCAGTGTTCTGGTTCAGTTATGGTGGTGGATATTTGAAGGCATTATTTTTAATTATATTTTTTGGAAAAAAAATAAATAAAGAGAAACAAATTTCAGAGAGCAATTATTACATATAAAAATACTTTTTCGTCTACTTTTTTAATCTTATCGATTTGAGATCTGATTTAAATATTAATGACAGCACAAAATGTCTAATATTTTGGTCCCATTGGATTGGAACTATCTATCACTTTCTATTGTTTATCAAATGGCATTGATTCGTATCAATTAATAAAAGAATATATGAATTTAAAAATAGGCCCAACAGCGGAATTTAAATATAGGCCCAGTTAAGCCCAATAACTGAAGTTCCGAATATATATAGGCGCCGATAACCCCAACAACAAAATATATGGATTTAAAAATAGGTTCAATAACGTGATATGGGCCCACTTTAGGCCCAACAATGGCTTTAATATAGACCCAAACAGGCCCAATAAATGAAAATTTGAATATATTAGGCCCAATAATATAATATATGGATTAAAAAATAGGCCCCATAACGGAATGCGGACCCTCTTAGGCTCAATAATGGATTTAAATATACGCCTATAATAGAATGTATAAATTTATAAATAGACCCAATAACGGAATATGAATCCGGTAAAGGCTCAATAACGGATTTTTTTTTAATTTTTTTTTTTAATAATTATTTAAAGTGAGATGGGTGATTTTTTGTAATTTTCAAACTTAGATTAACTGGTGTAAAGGTCAAATGTGTGAATACTAATGGCGAGGACTACATTAATACAATTTTTCAAGTATAGGGGTTAAATCGATGCAATTGAGAGTAGAATGGGTAAAGTGATATCGAGCCAAAGTACAAGGGGGCAAATCGATACAATTGAGAATATAAAGGGGTAAAGTGATATCAAGGCCAAAGTAAAAGGGAGAAAATGGAATTTACCCTAAATTAAAACTATTTTTATATTTCATTTTTTTAATATTCCATTAATATTAGCGATATTTAGTGACGAAGCCAGCACAGAATAGTAAATATATTAAAATATATACACAAAGAATAGTAAATAATAGACAATGAGATTTTTAGATATTTTGTTTTATGTGACTCAATACAAATCAGATTTTGGTTTAACTCAAAATAAATTTGTTAAAACAATTATATAAATAAGATTGGTCGAGGTCAAAATGCAATGAATTTGTTGAGATTTAGTTCCATCTTGACTAATTTTAACAATTAAACGAATTTCCAAAACATGATACTAAGCTTGAGATATTTTTCTTCCAATCATTTAATTTTTATAGGACAATTAATTAATATTCGTTAAATAAATATATTCATAAATAATTAAGTCAGTACAGTACAATCATCACTAACCATAGATATACAAATATACATATACATACCAATACAACAGAATATACTTTTTCAAATAATTTACGATTAAAATCTACTGCTGTAGTGATGAGTGATTGGTCCTCCGAAGGTACCACATACGAAGCAGGATGTACAACAGCAGTTCGAAAAGGAGATGCAAAAACCTAAATCCCAAATTCGTCAAAGACCGCTTGCATCTGGAGCCGGAGGTGTGTAGTGTACCTTCTATCTTTGTCCTTTTCCTTTTTTCCTTTATTTTATGTTTTTTTTTATACATATATATTAGAGAGAGAAAGAGTAGTGGATAACCACAAACTCGTCTGTAGAGAGAGAAAGGAAGAAATTTTGTAGAGAGAGAGAGAGAGAGAGTTGTGTATGGGTGAAGATGGATAAAGGGTTGGGCAATGATGAGTCTACTAATAATAATTCAATTTCTTCATCTTCTGCTGCAGCATCGAGTAACAATAGAGATATGTTTATCAAACAGGTCAACAAGAATTCCCACAAAATCGCTAAGCCCATCCGGAAGCCTCTCCCTCTTCCCACCACCGCCTCCGCCGCCGCTTCTTCGTCCGACCCGAATCCGCTCAATCCGGGTCTAGGGCAGCCCCAATCGCAGCAGCCACCGGTCTACAACATCAACAAGAACGATTTCCGCGACGTCGTTCAGAAGCTCACGGGCTCCCCTGCTCACGAGCGTTTTCCGACGCCGCCGCCGCCTCCTCCGCCTGTTACTCACCCCAGACCACCCAGCTCCCGGCTGCAGAGGATTCGACCCCCTCCCCTTGCCCAGATTACCAACCGGCCACCTCAGCTGAACCAGCAGCTTCCTCGCCCCCAAAATGACGTCGGTCAAAGGGGCCCGCCGGCGGCGCAGGGGCAGGCGTTTACGCCTCTTCCGCCGCTTCCATCCGTGCACCCTGCGGCGGAGTCCCCGATCTCTGCCTACATGCGGTTCCTGCAGAGCTCCTCCCCCTCACCGTCGCCTCTGTGGAACGCCGTCCCGCCGACCGGCCACCGCCCCGATTCTCTGATGCCGCAGAACGAGTTCGGTCAACGGCCTCCCTTCTCGTCGATGACGCCGCCGGAGTCTCCAATTTCAGCCTACATGCGCTACCTCCAGAACTCCGCCGCTTCATCTTCTGCTCCGAGGCAGGGCAACGGCGTAACCCTACCACCTCCGCAGCCTCCATTTTTCGCCCCACAGCACCACCATCCCCCGCCTTCTTCCGCCTCATTTCCGCCGCTGCCGCTGTCGCCGCTGCCATTTGGTTGCATTCCGTCGCCAAGGTCACCTTACGGCATGAATTCGCCCAGTTTTCTGTTCTCGCCGACCGGCCAATTTGGGATGCCCCAGCTACCCCTATCGCCGACACCGCCTGTTACAAGCCCTAGGTGGAAGGGTATGTAAGGAATTTCACCAATCATCGGAAAGGTAAGTCTGCCTAGGGTTTCATCTACAGTACTTTTTTCGATTTCATATTTATTATTCAGATTCTTATTATAGTGGCAAGACTGTAATTTTTGCACATGTACATGGTTTTTGGGAAATTATACTGAAAAAAATGGCCAGTTTATTATAGTGGAACAGGAGATGTAGGTTAAGCTGGTTAATTAGTGTTTCTTCTGTACATGAATGGTGAAGATAGTGAAGTAAAAACTTTATTTTGCTTCTTCCCTATTTCACATATTCGTTAATCTTTTCGACTTTTGAACAATTTACTCCGATTTTTTTTTTTTTTTATTACATTGTTTTCGGGTATTTTATTTTATTTTAATTTACTCCGTTTATTCTTTATGGTCTGAAACTAAAGATTTTGGACCCTTCCTATTGGATTTGGATAATCAAGAAGAAGATATGTCTTGAATTTGATGATTAAGCCGAAGAGGAAATCATAAAAATCGTGCTTTTTCAGAACCGAATAAACGTAGTTTGGAATTTAGTAGAAATATAAGAAACCCTCGAGTAAATCGCGGAATGCAGTTAAGGTTGACGTGGTCGTATAAGTAGTGTTTTTTCTTTGTAACGCTAGCTTATATGTCTTTAAGAAGTGGAATTCAGTTTACAATCCAACATTGACTAGGATTTCTTTTCAATTGGAGGGTTGTTTTGTATCGATGGATTGTAGCTTTCGGTTTCTAGTTGAATGGTGTCTATGGATTTTACGAGAGGTTAATTTTAGGATTTTAGATAAAATAATTAGAACTCTTGAAATTGCATAAACGCCACTTAAGTCTGCATGCATGTTAATTGCTTAAATTCTAGTAATTCCGTAAAGTGAACAAGGAATTCAAAGGCGTTCATGTAGGTAAACTCCTGCGAGACATGATTATTGAAATCCTGGTTCGTACCTTAAATAAATCAAAAAAAAAATAATGAAACGATTTGGGATATCATTACTTGTCATAATGAGTGGGGGGGGGGGGGAGTCCGCTTACATCTTGGTCATTTTACGGTTTTACCGTAGCGCATGGGCACCAAATGTCATTAAAAAAGACGACAATTCTTAATTAGACTAGTTTGGTGTGGCTTTCAGTGTAATCATACACGTGGCTCTCGTTAACCTATTTTGGAAAGTGAACTGGTTTTTGCTTTGCATGAACTGATGATGTTCATTGATTCCGTTATCTTTTCGTAAAGATGTTCGGACATAGAAACAAAGTAGTACCGTAACCGACTTAGTTCTCAATTTTGGCGGTGCTAAAACATCATGGTTAAATGCTTATCTCTACTTATCCAGAAGAGTTGGTTCTTTTTGGCCCTTTTTTTTTTCTTCATCTTCTTCGAAGAATTGATTTAATGTTCGTTTATTTTTGGATTTGGTGCAATTTTTTTCCTGCATTGTGTTGTTAGTTGAGTAGTGGTATGGTGATGAATCTTAAATAACAGGGCGAGTTGTGCGTATATGTTTTCAACTCGACATTTCTCTAATGCAACATATTCATTTGTGATGGCTTTTGGGACGCTACGAGCTTTCCTCGTATCATTGCTCCTGTCATTGTGACATCTTGTCGTAAATTGACATTCTTATTTGCAGGAAAGGTAACCTAGCCTATTTTAGAACTTTTCATATCGTTTCCTTGTATAAATTCGTATTCAGTTGCGATGAATTGTAGCTATGCTTTCACTATCGTACACCGATTTCCATCCGAGAAACAACTTGTTATTTTATTCATCTTCAATCGCAAAATGGAATGAAAAGTACAAGAAGAAACTGCATTTTTCACTATTTGCCGGAGGAAGCTATGAAGGGATAATCGATGTTTTATTTGAAATCGTACAAATTGCCCTACTGCAGAAGCGACAACTGAGATATACCGCGGAAATATATAGAATTTGTAAATTCGGATCATTAAATTACGGGCTTTGTGAAAGAGGATTTATATGGATCATAACTTGGGAACGATAAATAACAACTCCTAGATAAACTCGAAAGCACATGTAAAAGAGGAAAATTGAACAGAAAAAAAAAAAAAATTGTGCAAGAAAAGCCTCCAATATAGATATTAGTTTCCTGATTGTTGCCCTTCCTCGGGTTTGGCAGCTTCTTTGATTTCATCAGCTCCATCGTCCTGCAGTTAATAATAAATCCACATACACTTTAATCGATTTCGACAAGCTTATGTATGTATGTATGTATGTATGTATGTATGTATACCTGCATGTCGGAGGTCCAGAGAGTGAGGTTGTCACGAAGAAGTTGCATAATCAAGGTGCTATCTTTGTACGACTCCTCGCCCAGTGTATCCAACTCTGCTATTGCTTCATCAAAGGCCTACCCACACAACAGTTGATCAACAATTTTAATTCGTTCGTAATAGCAAAATTTAGACGAAATCTGATTATTCGAAAAATCGCTAGCATTAAAACAATGTCGAAAAATCATAACCTGTTTTGCAAGGTTACAAGCACGGTCTGGAGAGTTCAAAATCTCGTAGTAGAAGACAGAGAAATTGAGAGCCAATCCGAGTCGGATCGGGTGCGTTGGGGCGAGTTCTGCATTTGCAATATCCTGCATAATAATAACAATTTAATTGCACGTGATCTACGAAGAAGGGGGGAAAATGGACAGAGAGAGGGGCAAAGGAGTAAAGAAAGAGGGGGAAACCTGAGCGGCCTTGTAGGCGGTGAGGGTGCTTTCGGCGGCCTCTTTTCTCTCGGCGCCGGTTTTGAACTCGGCCAAGTACCTGTGGTAGTCGCCCTTCATTTTGAGGTAGAAGACCTTGGAATCGCCGGCGGAAGCGGCGGGGATGAGGCGGGTGTCGAGGAGCTTGAGGATGCCGTCGCAGATTCCGGCGAGCTCAGACTCGATTTTGGATCTGTAACCCTTGATGGTGGCGACGTGGTCCTCGTTCCCCCTCGACTCCTCCTTCTGCTCGATGGAGGATATGATCCTCCACGACGCCCGCCGCGCTCCGATCACGTTTTTGTATGCCACGGAGAGGAGGTTCCTTTCCTCCACCGTCAGCTCGTCGTTTTCCGGCAGAGAGGCGGAGACCTTCTCCATGAACTCAACCATTTCCTCGTAGCGCTCCGCCTGCTCCGCCAGCTTGGCCATGTACACGTTCTCCTCGCGAGCCGTCGCCGCCTCCGCCGCCATGGTGAAATGAAATTTGAAGTAATGGATTTCTCTGGAACAAAAGACGAAAGCAATGTGGGAGGAGGGGAATGTGGGAATCGGTGGAAACTATAAACTGGAGAAAAAAATAAGAAGGGGGAGAGAGAGAGTGGTCTGTTTGTGGTAGAGAGAGAAAGTGACAAGGAAAGGGAGAGCGGCGATTGAGGAGATTCTTATGCTTCATCTTCATTTTGATAACTGTTTTTTTGCTGGAAATGCGGTACTTCCAAAGACTTCCTATTGGTGATTAATTTTTTGAATTTTTATTTTTATAAAAATTATTTTGAGATAAATAGAGGTTGCAAGTTTGAATTTTTTTTTTTTTTTTTTTAATTTAACCAAGCAAAATGAAAAATTTAATCACCAATTAATCAAACTGTTTGTACTTGTATCTCATACATAGGTGATTTATTATTTAGTTAGTTCTTACTAGATTGTTTATTAAATTTACAACAGCAATGTATTTTTTAATTGTTGAGTTAGTCAAATAATAATGTTGTTGGTAGTTTAAGGTTGGATGATTTGGTCTGAATTTATGGTTGCAGAAAACGCAATTCAATTTGTTATGATCGATGTTCGAGTACTAATAGTATGTCTGGCAACAGCTCATACATTGCACATTCATTGAATACATGTTCGTGTTAGAACAAACAATTTATCGAACTCGTCGATCAAAAGAATATTCAGTAGCACGTACAGTCGATAAATAAATTGACATGAACAATTGACAAACACGAAGAAAATTATAAGTATAGTTGAAGCCGTACTTGCGCATTTGATACATGACCTAAAAAATGTATTTATTTGACACGTTCTTAAATAACAAATGGGTTTATCGACAAAGAGAGTGATCAAGAGAAGCCTGCATAGTTGTTTAGATCACCCCAAACTTTTTCCTCAACTTCCTCCCATGTTGTTGCTGTCCTTAATTCTTTCCACAGGCTGAATATCGCTCCTAGGACGTTCTCGTCGTATAATATACAGTAACACCTTAAAATACGATAATTCCAACAAATTATTGATTTGTCAAAACGAACATTTGATATGAAATAAATAAAAAGGTTTCATTCAGCTTACATTATCCGGTAGGAGAGTTGATCAGATCTATTACCCTGTGCCTCGTCTTTCAGTGATTCTTTTCTCAAAAACGGAATTTTGTAACTATCAAGAAACTGTTTCAAGAGACGAGAATCTCCTCGGAAGACATCAAGATGTATTGGAATTAGGTCGAGTATGGGTTCCCCTGCAGACATTAAGTGTCGGTTTACAGTGTCAGGCTGAAATCTAATGTTTCTTGTTGGGTATAAACAAGTGTAGCAAAGCTAGTATAAGATTTCAGGAAAAGAACTCACCTAATGTCAGATCACTAAAATCAAGGATGTGACTAGGATGCCACGAATGCTCTTGTCCATTGCTGATGTCAGGTCTTGTCACGCGCATGTTTTCTTCCATACAAGAATCGGAAATATTGTTCTCTGTCATGTAGATATTGTCGTCCATTACATCAGAGTGTATCCAAGTGAGAGATCTGCAAACTTCTGTCTCATTCTTCACAGAAGAAGAAAAAAAAAAGTGTCACTATTCAGCACGCGAATCTATAAATAATTTCTAAGAGAATGAAATACAAAAGGAGAAAAAACTACGTTAATTGTGAAGTAACAAAGGATCACCTTAAAAATGTCGAAAAATACGGATAAGTCATCAGGGATGTATTCATTAACTTTCTCTATCAGTTTGCTAGGAATTGGATCGCCCCTGCAAAGATTAGAGGGAAAAAAACACATAGATTCAGTTTATTGCTAAGTTAAGTAAATCCATAACTCTACATAATGATAATAGAAAACCATTTATACCATTCAGACAAACGCTTCGTAACATTGCTCCTTCTCCTGTTCAGAATTCTGACAAATAACTCCGATTCTGCTGGATTGTCAGTATTTTTTGAAAACCCATTACCTTGTAACGACTCTGTACAATCTCCTATGACCATTGGAATTGAGTGATTGGGAGATGGAGAGGGCACAGGCAAAAGGTGAAGATTATGCAGTTGCTCGCCCAAAAACGAAGCCAAATTGAGTGCATCTTTTGATGAAAGGTTATCTCTTCTGCAAAATAAATGATGCAAACTTCTTTCAGCATAACATGGCTATGTTTTTTGACCAAATAAAAATTATACTACATCAGAATAGAAACTCACAGTTCAGCAAATATTTTTCCCCTGCATCTTTTTGTCACAATATACGGCCACATTGAAGAGCTTTTACCACAATTTGCCGATTCATGTGATGGTGTCCCGGCTATTTGATATTCAAATTGTTTTTTTCCCCAAACACCAAATGGATAGTCAACTTCTTTGTGTAGTGGTGTTATGAGATTGCTGCTGGCAATTACCTCCGGTATGCCTCTACCATCCCACGGTATTACTCTGTATGACCCATTCTCAAAAACGAGGATGCCACTTGCCAATACAGATGGGATGTAATTCTTCAAAGAGGAGGTAGAGTTATTTAGTAGATGGTGGAACTCAAGCTGAAAAAGTAGAATAGGCTCGAGATATTAATAACAGTAAGAAGAAGAAAAAGCAGAAGTAACTGCTATACTTTAAGGCAATGAAATATAACCTCAGTGCCTAAACCATAGAGAGAAGCTTCCAGCCCTCCTTCAACAAATATTTTTGTCACACAGTCATCCATGAGATAAACCTGTTATAATATATAGATCCATCTAATCAATTTCTTGGCCATTGAAATTAAAAAAAATAATAAAAAAAAAATTCTTAGCATGAGACTTACAGGATTGCTGCCCGTGCCAACAGGAAGTTTTTCGTCCTGCGGCGGTGAGGGGAAGTCATAAAAGGCACAAATTTCTTTCACACGTTCATACCATTTTCCAGCATTGAGTGCAAGACAGGCTCCCTGAGACATGGTGCAATGAAATTAGACGCGAAAGACAATGATTCAATAACAGAAGTAACCCTCGTCTATTATGTTACTGACAAAACGTTGAAATTTCATTCATGAGAGAACTATAAGGTCACAGCTTTAAACAAAATTTAATGAACGGTAAGTGGTGCACATAACAAAATATAAGGCTGAAATCGGGTATATGTTACAATCAGCGGAGTTAAAACCTTGTGATTACTCCAGAACATAGCTCTCGAAGTATTAGAACTCAGTCTAAACTCTATTATAACATTTACTTCATAAGATTATTTCAATTTAAAAGAAGTTTCCAACATATAATAGTGAATAAGTGAGTGAGAGGAAGTAATACCTTCCATATTAGATCTCTAATTCCTGGTCTTCCAACCCAGAGCTTCCATAACCAATCTCTAAATTCTCGCTGTCCTATGCAGTTGCCAGAGCTCCACAAAGAACTATAATGGTCTCTTTCATTATCCAGAAACATTGCTAGGAAATTTACATCATAGGAATATTCCAAATCTCCCAAACTATCACATGAAGACATGTCTGTACAATTCCCATTGTCTGTATTCTCTACAGACTGGCATGTCCTCACTCTCTTCTCTTTCCTCGTGTGGTCAGAGTAGTTTGAACTATTCTCGTGGGACAAGGAATTCTTTTCAATATGCTCAAATCCACCATCATCAAGAGCAAGCAATCCAGCGCGGCAAATGCCTTTATGATGGAAACCAGGAGCCATGTCCAAACACACATATTCGAAGTTTTTGGAGTTGACAAAATTTTGTGTGACAGCAATTGTTGTCTCCAGATTCAATACACAGTGCCACCACCCACTTGGAACATATATTGTTTCACCGGGAAGTTGGGTACACTCTATCGGCTTGTCATGGTCAGCAAGAAGGGGATAGAAATCCAGCCACCACTAAGAGATGAAAAATTACATAAAAATTATGGGGAGAAAAAAAAAGAAGGAAAAGGCTCACAAAATGCAGATATTTCAAAGCAATACCTGCAAAGATGATGGAGTTTCGATATTGACATCACCGTCATCTTCGTTTACATGTACTGTCACTCCTAAAGGTACTCTTCCTGGAGGATACAATGCCCACCTATTGAAACATATCATGTTACATCCGAATCACATAGTATGAAGCCAAACAAGAAAAAAAAGATTACACCAAAGGAGTATATGATAACATTAAATTTACCAAGAAAGTAGTGATAAAGGATCCTTGTAAACTAAGATATGCTAATTAATAGCTACACACGATAACTCGTATACCGTTATCAGCAAAAAAATGTTGAGTATTACCTTTTACGACCAGAGAGGAGTGTATTCCATGCACTAGTCAGGCCTGGATCTACATGCCACGATGCCCCAGATCTTTCTGGTCCAATTATAAGCCATCTAAAAGGCGGTCGTTGATCGATATCCAGTACATCAAAATAGTCTTCTTGAAATAGATAGGGTACACTGTAATCCTTCAACAAATCTGGTGCAGCCTCCGCGAACTGCATTAATACAGTTTCAGATTTATATGAAACTCCAATTTACATTCCACAATTAGTACAACCAGCAGATTAGGAAAACCAGCACACCTTGTCATCGAAAATGTAGAGAGGATCTTCGTCGTGTTGGATTTGAATGTAAGAAATATAATCCTTAAACTTCATATTGACTTTCTTCGAACTCCTTTGTGATATTCTAAACTTTGTATCTGAATACTTCAATGCGAGCTGTTCACTTGTCCATGATTTCCTTGCCGGCCACTTATCAGTCAACCCATCAATCAAAACCTGTCCAATAAATATATAGCTTGTCAGTTATACATAATCTATTGTTTGTGAACAAGAGAAAATTAGTCCAGCATAAAAGCTGCACTCTCTCTACAAGAAATTATGTTATATCACTAACTCGCAACTACTATTTTAGGGTAGCACGTAACAAACCCAAAACATTCCATTTTTTCAGCTGTCATGAATCGGGTCTAAAAATATGCATCCAGTTTATAAAGAACTTACAGTGGAAAGTAACAACCAGACAAATTTTAGCCACTTGATATCTTTTAATGAACAATATTAAGAAATTTCAGGTAGCGCAGCGAATAGTTAGCTTTTTACTATTTTTGCTTATTTAATTAATGCCAAAATATTGCTGACGTACCGGTTTTTGACCATCATAATCCTTACGGAACTCTTCCAAAGAGATGTTCTCCCTTCTCTCAACATTACCATCGTCAAAAGAGAATCCATTCAACGAGGTATAACATCTGTATAACCTCCTATAGAGGAACAGCGAATTGAATCCTGCATAAGTTGATTAAAAAAAATCAAAGCCGGAACAAGTATGAGAAAATCCTACAACTTGAGAAGCAAAATTCTGATATTAAATACCGTCAAACTGCAACGTTCTTTTGCAAGCTTCAGTATACATGTCGAGCACATCTAGTCTGAGACAGACCAAGGTAAAAACATGCAATGAGACGAAAAGTTTCAGCGATTTTACAAGAGGGAAGAAATCAAGAGACGTACTGATGCAAGGCTGTTTTCTTCCAAGAGCCTTTGTACTCAAGCTGGCGATTTACGATGCTAAGGCATAGGCTCATCCAGAGAGGCTCCTCATTGCATAATATATACATAACGCTACACGAAAACAACAACTAAAATTAAAGGAAAATGTACACATATCCATGGCTTTAATACTTTTACTGCAAAAAAAAAAAAAAAGGAGGATGTGATAGCTAATTGAAATACTCAGGACAAACACCATCATTCCTTCACATCAGAATCCATGATTGATAGCAATCAAAAGCTGGAAAAGTGATAAAAGTGAAAAACCCCAAACGAAATTGTGATGGAATTGAGATTTGAGAATGAAACCTGCTTGCGCAAGAGAGGCGGGCGACATCGCGAGGGGTGAGCCTCGTCAATATGGTACAGAGGATTTCATCGGGAAGTACGCGGAGGTCGCCGAGAGCATCGGTCCGGCGATCCTTTAGCACAGAAGCTGAAGTTTCCGGTGGGAAATCACCACTGCCGTTACCCGAAACGGAATCCATTGGAACCAATCTGATTCGAGATCAAAGCACAATTGAATTCGGATTTTAGATCATGCGTAGTATTTACGCTCCCTTTTCCCCTTTCGTTTTCTCGGCGGGGGTGGGGTGGGGTGGGGAATCTCTCTTGCAGTTTCGTTCCTTAGACGCGGGTAAGAGCGCGTGGACCTAAAAGTCAATTACACCAACGAGTAACGCATCACGTTTTTTTCGTATACAACGGGATTAGTAATTTGGAATTAGTAATTTTTTGTTTTAAATAAAATAAATTTTAAAACTTGTGAATTATCTTTGGAAATTAAAATTGATTAGAAAATCAGATTTTGAGGAGATTTTATACATAGCATTTGCCATTTTGTGAGGAAATATATAATTTGACTAAATTGTCGAAACACAGTACCCCAATGCGAAATTTCTCCAATTAGTGCTTTGAAAAAAAAAAATAGGGACTATCAAAACTCCAACAACGAAAAAATAAAGGGTAAATTACAAACACCCCCCTGAGGTATTGTCAAATTACAAAAACACCCCTCTTGTTTGGATAATTACAATCACCCCCCTCAACTCCTCAAATTTAGTGGAATCTTCGAGATTATATGGAATATTATCACTTTTGTACCCGTTTTATCCCATTCAAACTCTACATTATGAAGCAAGATGATCATAATATGTGATTTTTAGTTTGTATATATCAGTTTGTGGTGCATCGGAAACTGTATTTTTTACACAAAACGAGTACAAACTAGAGCACATTTCACGAAATCTAGATGACTATGTTGAATTTGGCACCATAAAGGTGGAGGTCTAAGAAAAAATCATAGTTGAGGGGGGTAGATGTAATTATCCAAACAAGAGGGGGATTTTTGTAATTTGACCATACCTTAGGGGGTGTTTGTAATTTACCCAAAAATAAATTATTATACTACAATGTTAGGGTTTATGTTTAGGGTAAAACTAATTCTCAAACATAATTTATGTAATTTGTTAGACATGAGAAGTCGAACCTTCAAAGTATTGTATGCAACCACTCTGGTGTAACTTACAACGGTTTCGAATATAAAGTTGTTGCCACGAGCCATTTTGGAAAACGTGCTTTGGTGAAATAAATAAATAATAAGTATTTGTTGGAATTGATTTTGTTAAAACACATTTTTATGACTAGTAGCATTTTTTTAAGTGGAAATGAAACCTAATTATAATTCTAATATAAAGTGAGAGGTATTCCAAACAATTCTAATATAAAGTGAAATATGACCAAGATTAAGCTAAGCTAAACTCAGTGAGTAGAAGTCATAAATCAATACCAAAACATTAAGATAGAAATACAGTTTATTCATGTCTCAATACTCTCTCATCAGAGTCTCAAACCTTCCACTCTCTTTCAGTATACACATAATACAGTACACAACATAATTTCAAACTAAAATAAAAAAAACTTCCAAAATCATAATTTAAAAAAAAAAAAAAATTAAAAATACAACGACAGCACAATTTCGACAAGTTTGAATCAAGAAAAACTAGCGCTGAGAACCGAGCCTCCTCTTTCTAAGGCGTTCGGCAATAATAAAAGCAAGCTCGAGAGACTGTGAGGCGTTAAGTCTAGGGTCACAGTGGGTGTGGTAACGAGAGCTCAAGTCATCGAATGTCACGGTTCTTGACCCTCCGATGCATTCCGTCACGTTTTGACCGGTCATCTCGAGATGCACTCCTCCTGGATGACTTCCTTCTTGCTCGTGCACATCGAAGAAAGCTCTCACTTCCGCCTGATTAAATTACATACATGGTATTTACATAAGTGAATGACAATAATAATAATAATACAACTGGCTTATTGATAAACAAATAATAAATCATTTTTGTCATATTTGAAGTTAGGTCTCAAAAGCTAATATTTGTGGTAGGTGGGCACTTGTTTTTCTTGATGAAAACTCTCTCTCTCTCTCTCTCTCTCTCTCTCTCTCTCTCTCTCTCTCTCATGAAGAAAAACAAGTGGTCACCTACCACAATGGGTAATTCAAGAATTCAAGTTGATGATAAAGACATACAACCACTAATTAGAGAAAATTTCATATTCAATTGGATTTGATGGCTTTACCAACTTTGTGTATCCACTTTAACCACATTTTGTTTCCTACCAACTTTAATTAGGAAACGATTCTTAATTTAGCTCTTCTAATACTGTATGAAATGATTTCTAGGGTTAAAGTTTTCTTGTAAGCATTCGATTAAAAACGAAAGATTTACGAATAGTAATAA